GGAGAAAATAGCCAGAGAAACAGAGCTCCTGCGGGAGCAGAGGAGACATCACTGCTGCGACAGTGAAAAAAATGGCCAGAGAAACAGAGCTCCTGCTGGAGCAGAGGAGACATCACTGCTGCGACAGTGGAGAAAATAGCCAGAAAAACAGAGCTCCTGCGGGAGCAGAGGAGACATCACTGCTGCGACAGTGGAGAAAATAGCCAGAGAAACAGAGCTCCTGCGGGAGCAGAGGAGACATCACTGCTGCGACAGTGGAGAAATTAGCCAGAGAAACAGAGCTCCTGTGGGAGCAGAGGAGACATCACTGCTGCGACAGTGGAGAAAATTAGCCAGAGAAACAGAGCTCCTGTGGGAGCAGAGGAGACATCACTGCTGCGGCAGTGGAGAAATTAGCCAGAGAAACAGAGCTCCTGTGGGAGCAGAGGAGACATCACTGCTGCGACAATGGAGAAAATTAGCCAGAGAAACAGAGCTCCTGTGGGAGCAGAGGAGACATCACTGCTGCGACAGTGGAGAAAATTAGCCAGAGAAACAGAGCTCCTGTGGGAGCAGAGGAGACATCACTGCTGCGACAGTGGAGAAAATTAGCCAGAGAAACAGAGCTCCTGTGGGAGCAGAGGAGACATCACTGCTGCGGCAGTGGAGAAAATAGCCAGAGAAACAGAGCTCCTGTGGGAGCAGAGGAGACATCACTGCTGCGGCAGTGGAGAAACTTACCTGGAGAAATTGAGCTCCTGTGGTGTGAGGCTGAAGGAAGGAAGGAGGAGATTGGGGCCTGGCAGACCGATGCTCATCTTCTTGCATGTTAATCAAGACGTGAGGAAGAGGAGGTGAGAGATTAAATCCTTGCAGGATTATGCGCATCTGAAGTTGAAGGTGGACGAGATCAGAAATATCCTATCAATTATTAAATGTTTGAAAAAGTTCTTATTTTCTTTGTTTTTTTCATTGGTTTCTCAAAGTGATAACATGCGCTTACATGATGAGAAGACTAAAACGTTTTAGAACCTGCGTATATTTACCTCTGAGTCAGAGGTACACGGTTTGATTCAGTAATCATTGTTTGATGTTGGATGATCATCAAACAGCAAAGCACAGTCTGATTTAGATGATTGATTGTTCATTTATCCGTTGCTGGTTTGAGTGTCACACGCATATTCATTTAGTCAGTAATTAAGTAATGAAGTAATTTTTTTTTTTATTAATTTTTTTAATTACTTTCTAAGTTGCGTAGGAACCCTCAACATGACAGTTTAATTTAAATTGTACCATGGTCTGGGTGAATACTCGATTCTGATTGGCTGCAGGGTGTCCGTTAAAAAGTGATAGAGGCCACCTAGTAAAGTAGTTCTGGTGAAACTGCCTGTTTACCGTTCGAAATTAATAAATAAATGTGCTGCCTACAACAGCTGTGTGTAACAATAGCAACAGGCAGTCAAAGTATCCGTTAACAATTTGCTCTATCAAAACAAACATCTAACGTTAGTTAGACCTGAAGGGTTCTACAAGCTGAGCAGACTATAAATATCTACGGTTGCTAAATAAACCGTCAGGCAAGTTATTATTTGTAAAAACTAGATTTAGCCTAATTAAAATATAAACTAATGTTTTAAAAAAAATGTATTTGGCAAGTGACCATGGTATTAAGCTGGTTAATGCCCTCCGAGGTGTCCATTGTCAGGTTTTAATGGACTTCGGCGGAGCTGCGTGTCGGCCGGTTCACACCTCGCCGTCGTCCATTAAAACCTGACAATGGACACCTCGTCGGGCATTAACCCTTACTTATTTATATGGCTATGGGTCACATTCCCTGCCAATTTGTTCGTTCTGAATCAGAAAAAACAATAGTGAAGCTGCGGGTTTAAATTACTTCAAGAAATTAAATAAAAATACATTTACGCTATAACTTCAAGTTTATAAGCGATTTTTGTAGATACATTGCAGGACAGTGTTAACAATAGGTTCTTAATGATTCTGTGTGCAATCTGCACGTAATGTGCGACCTACTGTTTACGTGTGAGTTTATGCCACAAGGAAGCATCGTGTTAATGACGGCAAATTTTTGTACAGAAATGATTTAAAACGAGTGTTCCCCCGATCAAAACATGAGTATCCAGATAGCATAACTGGCTCGTGATTCAACAACTGAAGTGATGCGAAGTTCACCCAGGGACGGAAAATGAAAAGGTTTTGAGCTGAGCACTCAGAGTTGACCCGGCAGACGTTGAGAGTGTAGACTGACCGGGACTGAATCTGCAGCGCGGCTTACTTAGGGCCTGTTGCGGCGGCCTGGCGCTGGAGGAAGGCCCGTTCCTTCACGTGAAAAGGGCAGCATTACCTTATTGTCCATGTCTCTATGGCAGGAATTATTCAATGGTCCAGTTTAAAAAAATAATAATAATAATAATAATGCGGAAATAGATTGCGGATGTTTCGCCCGTGTGGCGAGGACCAGTTTGTTTGGCCTGACGCCCACGAGATAACACCAGAGGATTGCAGCAAAGATTCATGATTCTGACGGACGAAAGATTCTTCATCGAACTGGAAGCGCACTATTCGGACATGTTAGGAAGGAAAAAATTACAATCCAATAATCTATGGTCATGTGACCATAAGGAAAATATGTTGTTTTTCCATTTCTCTCTCAATATATTAGGGGTGTAACGATACACGTATTCGTGTCACCAGGGTTAAGGCCAAGGTTTTATTTCACCACACTCCGGAGGAGCAGACACCAGAAGACACCAAGAGGCAGACAACCACAGTGACTTTAAAAGGTAAGTCTTTATTCAGTTTAAACAGGGTAAAAGCAGAGACAGGGACGTTCGTGGCTCTTTGCGTCGTCAGACTCGTCGAATAGGCTCGTGAGACAGACAGTGACTTAAAAGCTCACTTCACCAGCATTGCTGCATACTTCCAGACTCGGACGGTAAGTAGAACAGGTAAGGATTCTTCACAGTACAAAGTACTCTTCGTCGGTGCACAATAATGAGACAGTGGTTTAAAATCTTACTTCACCAGCAATGCTGCATACTTCCAGACTTGGACGGTAAGTAGAACAGGTAAGGATTCTTCACAGTACAAAGTACTTTCCAGCTCAACTGTATCACTCTGGCTTCTGAGGGAGAGTAGATAATAACAACTTTCCACAAACGTGTAAACATGGATTTGAGTCACTTCTCAGCAAAAACACACTCGTGTTCACTTCAATTTCACAGCCATGAATCGATGTGTATCAATAAGGCAAAAGCACTGCAATTCACTCACACGATAGGGCTGATTCGAGGCCTACGATCCGTTTGTTACACTCACGTGGGGGAGATTCAACCTTCAGTTCCTCCTCGTCACACTCTGCAACACACACTTCTCTAATAGTCAGGTTCACACTCACTGCATCCTCTTCAGACTGTTTGAATGTTCGTAAGATGAAATCAATGCACTTATCTCTCTCTCTCTCTTCGCCGTGGAGGTCCAATCGATAACTCGGTCCAGCAGATTTCCCACAGACGATCACTCTGATCCAACAGACTTCAATGGGCGGCGGCCGCACCCCGACAACTTTCCTGAACAAGCTGGAACCCGAAACCACTCTTCACTGCGCTGGAACAACCACTCGAACTCTGAGACAACCACTTCTCCGTGAAACAACCACTTCTCTGGGACAACCAGCTTTGAACACTCCAATCAGCTTTTTCCTCTCTCTTTTATACTCCTTTTTCCCGGGCAGGTGGTTCAATGAAGCATTTCTCATGGGCTTCAGCTGGCGCTCATCATGGTCGGCGGCCATGATGTGTATACCCAGCGCCGGCCCGGTGTTACACCGGGATTTCTTCCCCCTGGAAACGAGTCAATGATTTTTGGTTCCTGGTTTGTTCACCCGGTGACATTCGTATTGAACCGTTCGGTACAAGGCTTTCGGTTCGGTTTTCGGTACGCATTTTTAAACCGAACGGTTCATTGGACCATTTTTCCTGCCGACCAACATTTAGTTATTTCAAATGTAGGCGCGTCGCGCGTGGTAAGCACGCTCATAATGTAAGAGACGCTGGCGTGACCACAACATTGCCCAACATCAAATGGCAAACGTAATGCAAGCGGAACGAAACTGAGCTACTCGTTATTGTGTGGTTGACGGACCGTTTATCGGTTTGGACCAAAGCAGCGCTAGTCGATCTTGATCAAGCAGCACTGTTACTACACAGCGCTAAGAGATCAGTAAAGAAAGCATTTGAATTCGCCACTGAAGGAATAACATCGCTGCGAGATCTAGTGAGAACTGAAGCATTCACATTTCTCCGTTATTAACTGATCAAACAGCGCTGACGTGGAAACCAGGAGAAACATTGTGCCATGAATGAACTATTCAGTGTCCACAGATCAGCAACATTCACCATGGATTTACTGTAGTAAAACTACTAACTGTAAGTTTTGTAACCATGGAAGTTTGACAGGAATAGTAGGCTATAATGCTTTCAAGTAACATCACGTCGGTTTTATTTTGACATTATGAATACAATTGCTGCCCTCAAATGTTAATCTGAACTAAAATAAACCTTTGTTTATAACTACTACAATATTACATTTCATTTTGTCCAAGGAGTTGTTTTGTTTTATAAGCTCCTAAGAAAAGTCAAGTATAGCTCCATCATTGCTCAAAGTAAACAAATATCATACTTTATGATGTTAGTTTTAATAAAAATATAATTTAAAAAAATTAAATCAAGGAAATTTCTCTGGCATTTCTTTCTTTTTACTGTATCGAAAACGTACCGAACCGTGACACAAGTGTATCGTATCGAACCGAACCGTGAATTTTGTAAACCATTACACCCCTAATATTTATATATACATATATATGAATTTCCGTGTTATTGTCTTTGTTTTACCCTTTTTATAATCTGTATAAAATGTTAGGGAAGCACCATTAAGTTGTGTAAGCGTGAGTGTAAAGCTGATGTAATTTCCGGGCGCCCACTCTCTTTCGCGGGATGTCATGGCGATGAGAGGCACGAACCAGAGATTCTCCTTGTTAGAAGTGTCTGATGGGGTCTGTTATATTTTGATACAGAAACTGAGAGAAGCCGAGAGTAAATCACATCACAACTGCATCATCGTGTGGGATCTCTTTTATTAAGAAGAAAACAACGCAGACGGAAACTACACTTGGAGTGAGGAACCTGCTTTACAGAATTGCAGACACATTTTTTTCACACATCACTCAAACACAGAACCAGGAAACAGGAAACTCTTCAGTTCAGAGAAACTGAAACTGAAGTGCAGTTGAGCTGTTGTGTGTTTGTGTCTCTCTATTCAAGCAGTAAAATGGCAGAAGCCAGAATTTCTCAGGATGAGTTCAAGTGTTCAGTGTGTCTGGATCTCCTGAAGGATCCAGTGACCATTCCCTGTGGACACAGTTTCTGTAAGATCTGTATTACAGGCTGCTGGGATCAGGAGGATCAGATGAGAGTCTACAGCTGCCCTCAGTGCAGACAGACCTTCAGTCCAAGACCTGCTTTAGCTAAAAACACCATGCTAGCTGAAGTGGTGGAGAAACTGAAGACTAAACTTCCTGCTGACTGTAATGCTGGAGCTGGAGATGTTCAGTGTGACGTCTGTGATGGAAGAAAACGCAAAGCCGTCAAGTCCTGTCTGGGGTGTCTGGAGTCTTACTGTCAGGATCACCTCGAACAACATGAGAGTTTCGTTAAAAGAAAGAGACACAATCTGATTGATGCCACTGGACGACTGCAGGAGATGATCTGCCAAACGCATGATAAACTCCTTGAGGTTTTCTGCCGCACTGATCAGAAGTTTATATGTCTGCTGTGTACGATGGATGAACATAAAAACCACGACACTGTATCAGCTGCAGAGCAGAGGACAGAGAATCAGGTATGAACTTTAAACTAGACACTGATGAAATAATGTTGACACTATTTATATTGGTACTGGTATGATCAGGTAACATCATTCACACTGCAGACTTCAACTGAAGTGAACAGAAGCTGCAAGTGGACTTTCACTGCTGAGCGTATTTGTGCTCCACACTTAACTTATCACTTGGTGAAAATGCAAAGTAAACATAATTATCAACACAAACTTTTGTAAAACAGGCTTTGATGAAGCAACATAAAATAATAGAAAATATTCACAGATTGTTTGACAAAATATATCTATATATATATAATATATAATATAATATAAAAATAGCGACAGACAAAAACACTTTTCAGACCAGCAACTGGAAAAGGTACGACTTGGCTAGGAAAATAGGATCTGTCAGGGCAGGACACAAGGGGATAATTTCAGGCGGACAGAAGAGCGTACGGCCAAAGCAAACTCGTAACCACATGCTTACACGACAAGTAAGAGTGCATGAGAACGAGCGAATGCTCATCCTGTCCACAACAGAATACAAACACACGGAGCATGAATGTCCGAATCCCGGCACAGAACCGAAACCAAACTAGACATGAGTGCAGCACCACGCTGCAAACATGAAACAAGGCACACAGACAAGAGAACATACGCTCACACAAAGACAAGACAATACAGGAGAGTCAGGGCTATGGCACAAAACCAAGAATAAACTAGACCAAAGTGACAGAACCCTGACAGATATGTGACAGCATTATAAACTGACATCTCTGTTATTGATTTGTGGTGCAGAAGCAGCTGAAGGAGACACAGAGGTCGTTCCAGCAGAGGATCCAGCAGAGAGAGAAAGATCTTCAGCAGCTGAGAGAGGCTGTGGCGTCTCATAAGGTGAGTCTGGAGAAGAAGAATAGTTTGAGAAGTCTCAGTCAGGACTCACTGAAGCTCACTGTGTGATTGTGATGTCTGTCCTAACAGCGCTCTGCACAGACAGCAGTGGAGAACAGTGAGAGGATCTTCACTGAGTTCATCCGCTCCATTGAGAGAAGCTGTTCTGAGGCGACACAGCGGATCAGAGATCAGGAAAAGACTGCAGTGAGTCGAGCTGAAGGACAACTGGAGCGACTGGAGCAGGAGATCAATGATCTGAGGAGGAGAGACGCTGAGCTGGAGCAGCTTTCACACACACAGGATCACATCCATTTCCTGCAGGTAACAGAGATCTAGAAGAACAGGATCATAGTGAACTTGAGCAAGAGATTCAGAGAGAAACATTTCATGGGAGTAGAATGAGCTGTTGACTGATGTGTTGTGTTATATAATCTTAAGGTAGATTGTCGTCTGAGCATCTTGCTCTACAAAATTACACTGGTGTTTAAGGACAAGCATTAAGCTGGTTCATACTTATCTGACCGCTACCATTTCGTCTACTTAAATGGAGAAAAATCGATCATAACTTCGGCAAACTATGGAGTGCCGCAGGGATCTGTGTTAGGCCCTTTATTATTCTCAATATAAATGCTGCCACTTGGTAATATTCTAAGGAAACATGGAATTAGTTTCCATTGTTATGCCGATGACACTCAAATATATATTTCATCACGGCCAGATGAATACGCTAAATTATCCAAATTGACAGATTGTGTTAAAGATATAAAAGATTGGATGACGCGTAATTTTTTTTTATTAAATCCAGACAAGACAGAGGTAATACTTATCGGTTCTAAAAAACGTCCACAAAACCTTTCACAGCACGAATTTAACATATTAGGATGCCCTGTTACTTTATCCGCTACAGTAAAAGACCTGGGTGTTACACTAGACTGCAACCTGTCTTTTGAAAAGCATATTTCATATGTTACAAAAACAGCCTTTTTCCACCTTAGAAACATTGCTAAGCTACGTAATATGCTATCAGTCTCTGATGCAGAAAAGTTAGTTCATGCATTCATGACCTCGAGACTAGATTACTGTAATGCTTTATTAGCTGGTTGTCCTGCATCCTCAATAAACAAGCCACAGTTAGTCCAAAATGCAGCCGCTAGAGTTCTTACTAGATCAAGAAAATATGATCATATAACACCGATTCTATCATCACTTCATTGGTTACCTATAAAGTTCCGTATTAATTACAAGGTATTGCTTTTGACTTATAAAGCTCTAAATGGTTTAGCTCCAATCTATTTAACGGATCTTCTATCGCCCTACAATCCATCGCGCTCTTTAAGATCACTAAATTCGAGGCTTCTGGTCATTCCTAGGATATCCAGATCCACCAAAGGAGGGAGAGCATTTTCACATTTAGCTCCGAAGCTCTGGAATAGCCTTCCTGATATTGTTCGTTGCTCAGACTCGCTCTCCCAGTTTAAAACTAGACTAAAGACGCATCTATTTAGCCAGGCATTCATATAATTTTTTTATCTTACAGTTACTGTAAATTCGGCCTCTAATTCATAAACGCCAGAGGAGAACTGGCCCCGACTGAGCCTGGGTTCTCCAAAGGTTTTTTTTTCTCCATTGGGTCATCTGATGGAGTTTTAGGACACCATCGGGTCACTTGGAGTTTTTCGGTTCCTTGCCACTGTTGCCTTTGGCTTGCTCAGTTGGGGATATTCAAATTAAATGACCCATCATACCACTGATCAGCTCTACCAAACTTGGATGTCTTTTTCCAGTAATAAACATACACTGTTAAGTTGTTTTGATTGATACTGCGAAGCAGCTTTGATACAATCTGTATTGTGAAAAGCGCTATATAAATATATTTGACTTGACTTGACTTTAAAATAGACGACACTTATGAATGCATTTCAGCTCTGGAACATGTTCTGAGCTCTTTCTTCTGGGAGATATATTTAGCTGCCAAGCTCCACTAGTACAAAGAACAGTTCAAAACTTCCAGAACATATCTACTTTTTGGTAACACTTTATTTTGATAGTCCCCCAACAGATATTCTACTGACTATAAGTAACTTGGCAACTACAAGTCATCTTATTCTAACCTGAACCCCAACACCTATAACCTAAGAGTCAACTACAATCTACTAATACTCTCAGGGCTCTCAAGTTTCACGCATTCACTGTGAGACACACGCATTTCAACCAGTTCAAACGTTCACACGCCACACCTTGTATTTCTCACGCTTAGAAGTAAGGGATAACTTTACCCACTATATAATTAATGGACGAGGCGCAGGCATACGGAGGGAAGTTCTCTGCCGAGTTCATAGCTGCTGTCTCGAGTTATACAGATTTATATGCCACATACCAGCCAATCAGAAATTATAATTTGTTGTTTCCGGGTAAATTACGTGTTCCTGCTGCAAGCACGTTCGTTACTAGGCAACACTCGCATACACAGAGTGGAAGTTGGAAGAGCAAGATCTGATGAATGTCATTTGCGGTAGGTAACATTAACCCCTTCATTTTTTTTTTTTTTTACCATTTTGATTTCACGATTCTTGGACGAAATCTCTTGCATGTGATCAAAGACAGTGAGAGCTGATGTTGAGGAATATAACCAAATTCTTGCTAAATAATTTTTGATGCAGTCATAAACTCTCCAACTGCTTTTAAAGGGGTCATCGGATGCAAAATTTACTTTTATATGGTGTTTGCATATAAATGTGCCTTTGCCGTGTGTGCACACAACCACCATACAATGAAAAAAAAAATCCATTCACTCTTTTTTTTTTATCCTCAAAAAGCCTAAACATTCTCAATAATCAAGCCGTTTGGATTTTCTGAGCAATATGATGTCATATTGGTCATGCTCCGCCCACGACCACTAACGGACTATCCCGTATTAGCATATTTACGCCATCGGCCATTTGTATAGTCTCTCTGTTTATCCCGAGGTTTACCGCAGTCCGCCGGATCCAGGCCGTATCCAGATCTGATAAAGGACCAGCGCCTGGACACGAAGACAACGCAGTCCTGAAATGTTCTCTCCCCTGTGAAGGCCTCCCTCCCTTTACCTCTGTACATATAAAACGTTGTCGGGATAATTCGGTTCGCGTGGCTACGCAGACGCGACCAAAAAAGTTCTGTATTACAAATTTTGAAGACCAGACAAGTAGTTTGTTGAGGGTTGATTTGTGAAGGACTACACGCCTGCGCACATTTATATTCAAATGCGCATATCTATGGAGTGAACATGTGATGCGCATGCGCCGTCTGCGTTTTGGCAGGTTTGCGTTTTTGAGGTTTGCTCAGAGATAACGGATACCTATTACCTATTTGCACCTTTGAACCTATTTCAGGGAGTATGTTCTCGAGACACCAGGCACTGTTTTGTGCGCATGGGCGGCCGGAGCGCGTTAAGAGTTTTTCTGTTAGAATGGTGTCGTGACAGCGGCCCCTAAGTTAACAACTAATGATCTTCGCAACGAAAGTGAATAAATCAAAACTAACTTTAGCTGGACAATAACATTATCCTAATGCTGTTGTAAAGCCTATACAATCTTTTACGGTAATTTCTATTATAACTGTAATGCTGCTTTGAAACAATCCATACTGTTAAAAGCGCTTTATAGATGAAGGTGACTTGACTTGACTATAGACCTTATGCACCAGAGAAACAAGTGCGCAGCCATCTGTAGAATATTGTCTTTGAACTTCTGTTTTTGCGGTCGCTCTGTATATTTCTATGGCATCGCTGTAGAGGAGTTATTAGCTGGTGAAGTGGATTTACTTATTGTAGAGTTAACGAAAGTTATCATGAGCATTGTAATGTTTTAAGCAGATGTCTTAACAAATGTCAGTAGACCGTGAAGATTTTAAAACGAGCCGTTCATTCATAAATACGCATGATCGCTGTTTACATCAAAGTTACAACACACAAACATAAACAAATCTCATTACGTAAATAAAAATATAAAAATGCATCTGGTTACAAACATTTACACACAATTAATTTACTCTGATGATATTGTCCACCGAGGCAGGTTGCCAAGGCAGCACTTTACTGTCTTGTGATGACACACCCCATGGCAGTTGCTCATTATCATTTAAAGAGACATGGTCGAAACGGGTCGCTGTGAACAGAGCTATTTTTGAGGAGGTAAAAAGGGTGTTGTTTTACACAACCATTGAGGAATTTTAACCAAAGTATGTTACAAACTTTACATGAAGACCCTAAAGAATCATACCAACTTGTGGAAAATGGGCATCTGATGACCCCTTTAAAGGTGACCGGTTTGAGCAGATTTGGAAGGCTGTCTACGATTGCCAAACAGGTTTTAGTTCTTCCCCACTCACATGCAGATGCAGAGAGGGTGTTCTCCATGGTGGGTTTGAACAAAACCAAAATTAGAAACAGTTTGGCTCTGGATGGAGTGCTATCATCCAGCATGACAGTGAAAATGGCTGGCCTTGAGCCACAGTGCTTTAAGTGGGAGCCCCCTACCCCTGTCATCAAGTCATCAAAAAGTGCAACAAACACTTACAACACAAATCACCATTCATAAGCTAAATGTGTACAAACACATAAACACACAGACCCACACAAACACACAATTTGACAGACATGCTCAGGGCAAGTTGTTATGACTGAGTATGAACATTGAGAACTGCTGTTCAGTTGGCTCGTTTGGGGCAAAATTTCTTTTTTTTAAATTTATATAAATTTGTATTTTTTAAATATGTGAACTGCTAGGAACATTTGAGCGAATTTGGTGGGGCCGAGGGGCCGCTGCTGCAAATATTTGGGTGGCTCCTCCCCTAACAGATCTGACTTCAAACTTTTGATAAAACTTGAGAGCCCTGTACTCTAATGACAGTTAGTTGACATGTAGTTGCAAAGTTACTTATAGTTAGTAGAATGTTTAAAGGGGACTATCGAAATAAAGTGGAACCAACTTTTTTAAACCAAATTTTCCCTTCTGATTTCTTACATCATGGTGAAATTAATGGTACCAATTTTTTAGTAATGTTCACCAACGTTGATTCAGGTGATCTTCAAACCTGATGGATGTGCAGTTTCACAATTGTTTGACCGTTCCCTTGAGGATCACACCCATGATAATCTCCATCTTGATCACATGGTGCACTACCCAGATGACTTTCTGAGTGCCTTTTATCACGCCGGCCTCAAAGAGCAGACAGAGGCATGCTATTCTCTGAGTGTGTGGAGTTGGTACTCTCCAGCTGTGGCATCCCTAATACGGTGGTCCCGGTGCTAGCACTCATTGACCTACATATTCTGGAATGGA